GTAACTACGGCAAGAGCATCTCCAACGCTGTGTTATGACAGAAACTGTTGTGAAATGCTTAGCATAAACTCTTAGGTAAGGGCGAGAGATAAGATGTTGTAATGCATCTTAAGGAATCCCTTGCCTCAGGGATTTTTGGCCCAAAGATACAACTGCTTAAATTCACGTTCCCTTGTGAAATAGAAATGCACTTTAGCATACTTTTAAATCGAGTACTTATATACTTTACAAGAATATACCTAATTGTGAACTGCACGTAATGTTTTCAGATACTTCATTGCATGATAACTGCAATTAAATGAAAATTTATAATAGTTTACATGTTAGTCAGCACATCAAAATACGTGTACTTCTTTAAAACATGACTAAAGTTTATTAAAACATAATGATTTAAAATGTACTTTAAAGTAAAACATTTAATTTGACTTTGCACTTTTAAAAGTGTACTTAAGTGTGTTAAGAATCATAGTCATTAAAGTATCTCTCTTTAAGTAAAGTGGCCTTTTATTTCATTAATGTTATATTATATTATCTGCAAGTACAGATTATTTAAAAATACTTGTGCTGTCAAACGATTAATCGCGATTAATCGCATCCAAAATAAACGTTTTTGTCTGCATAATATGTGTGTCTACTGTGTATATTTATTATGTATATATAAATACACACACATGCATGTATATATTTCAGAAAAATATGTTATGTTTATATATTAATATATATTTATTTATAATATAAATTATATGAATATAAATATAGACATGTAAATATTTTCAAAATATATACTGTATGTATGTGTATTTATATATACATAATAAATATACACAGAACACACATATATATTATGCAAACAAAAACTTTTATTTTGTATGCGATTAATCGCGATTAATCGTTTGAGTGCACTAAAAAATACACTACTAAGATTTTAAGTACACTACAATTGCACATGCAATAAAATTAAGCATACTTATTTTTCACAAAGGATCATTTGAAATGACAGAACTGACATTTTCTCTTGTCCAGTGTGTCCTTCTTTCCTTCATGAAACACAAACGTAGATGTTGCACATAATATACAGTACCTGTACATACAAAACTGTCTATTGTAATATACCTGCACATACAACTGTCAATTTATATATTTTTATTCCTTATTTACTTGTTCTATTTTTTATTATCTGTGTTTTTTGTTCTGTCACTGTCATTCTGTTACACTGTGGAAGCTTCTGTCACGAAAACAAATTCCTCGTATGTGTAAACATACCTGGCAATAAAGCTCATTCTGATTCTGATTCTGAACAATGTCACAGATGCTCCTTTCCAAAGTGGATGGGAACCAAAAAGCACAAAAGCAATCCATATTTTGTGCGCATATGAAAATAATAGTGGCTTGGGATGACATGAGGGTGGGTAAATTGACAAAGATGTCACATTGTGTGAATTATCCAAACACAGAAAACAATTACAGCTCAAGCAAACCTGCTAGCAGAGCCCTCGCTCAGATTTCAGCACTTGTTCACGACCCACAAGATCGACATATTACCGGGGTAACACAAACACTGACAATGTGTCTGAAGTAATCCTTCTAAAAGCGAGTCACTCGTGTCTGCTGTGTGTATCACGCCACCAACAGCAGGAAACGGCTTCACCACATCAACTTGACCGCCGTTCAAAAATGACTAACTCTGGTTTTGAGAGCTCACATGCTGCCGCTGGAACGGCTCGGAGATGTATAATATAACTACCGCCCAGGCTGATCCTGGAAAGTTGGATTAAAGGGAACTGGGTGATTTACGATTTGCAAAGAATCTGGCTCTAGTCAGCGTTCGCCAGGGGAGTGAGAACGAGGCTCAGCTCAGATGAACCAAGTCGATCTGGAAGGCAAGTTGAAGAAAAAGACTGTTGTGGAGTTTCTGAGAGACGGAGAGATGGATGAAGAACCGGCTCCTGGAATAAGGTGAAATCCATCCCTTTGACATGAAGAACGTGCTTTGGGATGAAAGTGTTTGATGAAATCTTTCAGAAAATCAGCGGTAATTACTAGTGGCTCGGATGAAGCACTTTCAGCAAACTGTGGTTAAATCTGGGAGGTTGATGTAAAGCTAAAGAGCTTCTCGAGTTATGTAACAAGGGACTTTCCAATGGGAACATTTAGCCATAATCAGTGCAAGTGAAACATTGTCACTCTACACCAACCAGCATATTTAAAAGGACAGTTCAGCCAAAAATTAAAATTTTATTTACTCTTCCTCAGGCCATCCAAGATGTAGGTGACTTTTTATTTCAGTAGAAAAGAAAAGAAGATTTTTAGCTGAAACTGTGCTCCTTGGTGATTCATAAAATGCAAGTCAGCGGCTACCATCAATTTGAGAGCCAAAAAAGCATATACAGGCAATAAAATATAACACCCATGGCTCCTGATGATATATTGAGGTCTCACGAAGCAAAACAATCAAGAAACTGAACATTATTTACAACATTATTACCTGTAATCCAGAGCCTCAGGCAAATGGTCTGGAATGATTCACGAACAAATCGTTCTTTTGAACCGACTCGTTTAGGTGAACTAGATGAACCAGTTCACCAAATCGGACTGATCGTCTGAAACCGATCACGGCTCGAGCAGCAGATCTACATGTTACTCAATCAAAACTCACTTTCAGATGCCTGACAGTCACTCCGACTGGCGATGAGCCGGAATAGTAGCGCATCTGATCCTGTGATGAATGAACTGATTCAGTGCTCCAGTTTCAGCAGCAGTCACTGAACTGAGGAAACAGTTCGGCTCGGACCAAAGAGCCGCTGATACAAGCATGTTTATATGCTTTAGACATGTAAAACATCCACATTTCACATCTTTATTGTATAATATAACAATATAATTGCGTATAAGTGACGTGATTATGTAAACAAACTGAGTCGGTTATTTAAACCAGTTCATTGAAACGAACTGTCCAAAAGAACCAGTCTGTGGAATCAGAAAGAATTAGACTCAAAGAATCAGACTTCCCCATTTGCCCGAGGATCTGGATTACAGGTAATAATTTTGTAAATAGCATCTAGTTTCTTGTAGAGACTGATGGTTTTGCTTTATAAGATCTCAATGTATTGTCAGGAGCCACGCGTATTAATTTTGTGTTGCCTGATATGCTTTTTTTGATTCGGTAGCCGATTACTTGCATTTTATGAAGCACCAATTTTACAGGTTTCAGGTAAAAATCTTCTTTTCTGTTCTACTGAAGAAAACAGTCACCTACATCTTGAATGGCCTGAAGGTGGGTAAACTGACAGCAAGTTTTCATTTTTGTGTGAACTATCCCTTTAAAGCTAAAGTGTGTCATTTCACCAAACAGAATAGCAAAAGCATGAGATTTCCGAATCCTCTCGTCATGCACCACTGTTCGGTTAGTCCTGCTCCAAACTCACACCATTGCTGGCTGAGTGGATCGTCTGAGATCATTCCCAAACACATGCAAACTCCATTTTAGAAGTTGAGGTCATTATACAAATGGTAAATATTTGGTATTAGAAAGTCTAAAGCAGGCTGAATGAGATTCAACTCTGATTAGCCCATTTACAAAGCCAGTTAAAGGAGCCACACATTAGTAGCATTTAATTTATGTCATTTGCAATAGTAGTTGGGTTTTTTTGCACCACAACAGTCCCAATTTAGTTTTTCATGAGAACTTTCCATCCTTTCTCTGACCCGTAAAATTAATCATGCTGTTTTTGCTGCATTTGACAAATGACCTCTGTTATGACTGGCTAACCTCCGTGTCCCAGCTCTCGTTCATTAGAGACAGCCAAGTTATAAATACTGAAAAGAGACAGATATGTAAATATGACTATCATATGTCTATGAGTTCTGAAGGTTATGAATAGAGTATTTCTACATCAAACTATGTTATTTGCCTTGTGAAAAGAAGTGCACTTGATTGTACTGAATGTGCACTTGCAGTTAAAAAAAATCTTTAAAGTATGTTTTTAAACACTGTACTTACAGATTACATAATATTACTTAAATAAAAGGTCACTTAAAAAGGGGTCAAATTATGCTTTTTTAAAGATCATTATTTTGTGTATTTCGTGTAACAGAATATGTTGACATGCTTTAATGTTCAAAAAACACATTATAATAAAAGTTTTTGTTTACATAATATATGTGTGTATACTGTGTATATTGATTATTTATTTATATATATATATATATATAAATACAAACACATGCATGTATATATTTAAGAAAAATATGTTATGTTTCTATATAAAATATATTTATATATGATATAAAATATAAAATATAATAACATGAATATATAGATGTATAAACTTAAATATTTTCAAAATATATACTTTATGTGTGTGTATTTATATATACATAATAAATATACACAGTACACATACATATAAAATGTAAACAAAAACTTTTATTTTGGATGCGATTAATCACGATTAATTTTGATTAATCATTTGACAGCACTAATTTTTAGTTGTGCGATTGGGTCTCAACGTACTTATTTCTTCAAGTTTTATATCATTTCAAAATACACTGCCATTCAAAAGTTTGGGGTCAGTATTTGTTTTTGAAAGAAATTGAAACTTTTATTCAGAGAGACAGCATTAATAGACCAAAAGTGGAAGTATTTAACATTTATAATGCTAAAAAAGATAAATGCTGGAAAAAGGAAAATGTATCACGGTTTCCACAAAAATATTGTGCAGCACAACTGTTTTCAACATTGATAATAATCAGAAATGTTTCTTGAGCAGCAAATCAGCATATTAGAATGATTTCTGAAGATCATGTGACACTGAAGACTGAAGTAATGATGCTGAAAATACAGCTGCGCATCACAGAAATAAATTACAGTTTATAATATATCCACACAGAGAACAGTTATTTTAAATTGTAATAATATTTAATATTATTACTATTTATATTGTATTTTTGATCAAATAAATGTAGCCTTGATGAGCAGAAGAGACTTCAAAAACATTAACAAACCTTACGAACCCCGAACTTCTGAATGGTATAGTGTAATGCTGATATACTGAAGACTCAGATTATTACACAATATATGTAGCAGTTAGAAATGTTTGTAATTACATGAATATAGAAAAAATGAATATCTACATTCACAATGCACAATTTAAGCCTATATTGGCCACTAAAAGCCTTGAGCATGTGCAGTAAAGGACAAAGCGTTGCCCTTTTACTCAAGCAAGCAGCACTTTCAGACTGTATATTTTAAATTTAAATCACAACCTATTGTTGGACATATTGCCATATTTATCATGCAACCCAAGCTATGAATGAGTATGCGAATGTAAACAGGAAGGTCATCCCTAGCGGCGACCAGTCCTGCTCACCTTCTTACAGATGCTGGATCCCTATTGGTGGAAACCGACCTCCTGCTTCCACTGCCTACAGCTCTGCCGTGATTGGGCGACCGTGCGGGAACTCTCCCGTAGGGAAGTGAAGCGGATGAGGAAGGTGAACGGTACACTGAAACCGGCTCCTGATTGGGTGGGCCGAACTGCACTGGAGCAGCGCCGTCGGCTTCGTTTCGGTAGAGTGGTAATCCAGGATTGGGATTGGCTGGGAGAGGTGGGGAAAAGTAAGGAGGCATCTCAGCGCCCCCTGCTCCAAATGGAGGGGGCTCGTTGACGGGATACAAGGAGTTGTAGTAGGGTCTGACCGCAGAGATCACAGGGGTGTTGTTTGGGACACCTGGTGGAATGTAAGCCGGTCGGTTCCACATAAGAGGCGGAGTTTGGGGAGGTGGCATACACGGTCTCCGCCTCTCAGACACGCCCACTCCGCAGCTCTGAGAACACTCCACCCACTCGCTCCATGGACCCCACACTCCTTCAAGCGCCTCCTCTTCTGCCTGACGAGACTTTCGTCCGGCCGCCTGTCAGAGGAAGGCCTCATGATTAGTATCCCACATGCAGCATATGCACAATACTGATACTGTATATACAGTGGGGTCCAAATGTGACCCTGGACCACAAAACTAGTCATAAGGGTCAATTTTCTGAAATTGAGATTTATACATCATCTGAAAGCTGCATAAATATGATTTGCATTGATTTATGGTTTGTTAGGATATGACAATATTTGTCAGAGATACAACTATTTGAAAATCTGGAATCTGAGGGTGCAAAAAAATCTAAATATTGAGAAAATCGCCTTTAAAATGGTCCAAATGAAGTTCTTAGCAATGCATATTACTAATCAAAAATTAAGTTTTGATATATTTACGGTAGGAGATTTACAAAATATCTTCATGGAACATGATCTTTAAAATCCTAATGATTTTTGGCATAAAAGAAAAAATTATAATTTTGACCCATACAATGTATTCTATTGCAACAAATACACCTGTGCTACTTAAGACTGCTTTTGTGCTCCAAGATCACAATTATATGAAAATCTGGGATTCAAAATCTCATTTCTTTTGAAGCCCAATGCTATTTGGATCATGCTGGAGAATATGATCATCGGGTTTTGTTCATATAGCTCATATTGCTATACTGAATGTCATTCTCAAAGTCATGTTCATTTCTGAATTTACCTTTTCACTCAAATTTTTGTGCAGATAATGCAATTTTTGCATTAAAAAATCATAATAATTTAGAAACGTTTCAGACTCAGACCCTGCCATCCACATGCACAGCTGTAAAAACAAACATCTCAGACAAATGCACAACCACAAAACCAGCCCGGGTGCATAAACTGAAACCTAATAGCAGCCGTAATTAGAACTATTTAAAAAGAAGTCTGATCAATATCAAATTACATAGTGCAAATCACAAGATTAAACAAGCAAAGCATGAACAATTGTTTTGAAAAAGAAAAAACAGAATAATTCCCCAAACCACACCCGACAACATTCAAGTTGAAACACATGTCCTGTTCTATCGTGCTTGGTGATGAATGACATTATGACTAAGAAAGAGGCATTATTAAACTAATGGCTTGTGCTGCATTCAGGAAGAGGCTGGACTCTGGAGTTCAGCCCAGTGCAATGACATTCTTTACAGTGCTGGACGCAGATTTGATCTAAATCCAGTTACTTATATAACCTCATTTCATCAATCAGGAGCGAAGAATTCGAGTGTCTGCAGGGCAGGCAGAGGTAGAAGGGAAGAAAGCAACAAACAAAAGAATCCATTCAGTTCACAAAAAAAGAGAGAGAAAAAAGGACAAGAGAACAAGGCCTGTAATGCACCTCTGATCCTGTCTAAACTGCCATCAAGGTCACACAACGCCAGCCTGTGTCTGTGTGTGTGTGTGTGTGTGTGTGTAATGCAGGTGACATGCACTGATAGACAGACAGACAGACAGACAGATACACTCTAAAATATGCTGGGTTAAAAACAACCCAGCACTGGGTGAAATATGGACAAACCCAGCGGTTAGGTTAAATGTTATTAAAAGCTATTAAAAATATTAAACGTTTTGTTTAACTCAACTATTGCTTAAAAATTATTATATTTCTTGCTTAGAAATGAACGCAAAATAGGTTAAATGAACATTTAATAATATGTTCAATAAATGAACATTTATTAATAAGTTATAAATAATAATTAGCCTAAATAATAATTTTTTGTAAATTGCTTATTAATAAATGTTCACCTTTTGATTATTGCTGATGCCTCTAGTAATTACGTGTCTGATTTTTAATTTACAACCTATTTTGGGTTCATTTTAAACCAGCCATATAATAATGTTTAAGCAATAGTTAAGTTAAATAAAACTACTGGGTTGTTTTTTAACCCAGCATTTTTTTTAGAGATGGATGGATGGATATAGATAGATAGATAGATAGATAGATAGATAGATAGATAGATAGATAGACAGACAGACAGACAGATTGTTTTTGGAGCTGCATTGGCTGCAGAAGCCAGTATAATCTGTGCATGTGTGTGATTTGCTGCCTGTTATAACATCTAGCATGCAGCGCTGTTTGAAATGCAAGGAAAAACAACAAACTCATTTCTAGTTTTCTATGGCATTTGTCTTTGAGTATTTCTACAATAAACTGTTGTTGAAATAGAGCATAACAGTGTGCTGTAAAACTACACACGCACATCAAACTCTCAGCGAGAGTCTGCCACTGCAGCTCCTCCTGTAGCTTCATACAGAATGAGTTTTTTTGAGAAAGTAAAAATGCACAAAGTTTCCTGTAAGGGGTAGGTTTAGGGGTAGGGTTGGTGTAGGGCAATAGCACATACAGTTTGTACAGTATAAAAACCATTACGCCTATGGAATGTCCCCATAAAACATGGAAACACAACATGTGTCTGTGAGTGTGTGTGTGTGTGTGTGTGTGTGTGTGCTTACTCAGAACATGTGCATAACTGCTCACTTGCTTACATGTGAGTGTGATTTTTTCACACCAATGCCCAATCACAGCCACATCTCACATGCTCCCAAAGGACAACCCCACATCAGAGGCCAGATGACCAAACAATGGAAAGATCAGCTCATGCGGCCTGATTTAATGGTCAGATCCAGCAGTTTATCTGCACTTCTCTCAGAGCCACAGAAGACTCATTCAGCTGGTCCACAAACATATGGCAACACTCTGTCAAGCACTTCTCTCTAATAGTAGAGTATGCACATGTAAAATCTTCATCATCTTCATCATCATCATCACTCACCGGCTTCTCTGCTTCCTCAGCTGTTGTTAAGGACAGGACAGCAAACACACAACACCAAAATGCACACAATCTGCGAGGAAGAGGGGAAACACACATGAAGATGAGCATTTAGAAGAAGAAGAGTTCAATTTCAGTTGAATCATGTTGTGATATTAAATTATACTGCGATAATGAGCCGCTATATTAACACACGATGAGCGCTGTAAATTATAATGTCTACGGTCTACAAGAGGCTGATTAGATTAATCTCTGGACAATTAGGAAAATGTGTTAACAAGCTGATGGATACAAATACTTCCCAATGGCTTTCCCAGAATTCCTCCTGACAGGCCGTTCCCCACCCTGGCAGTTCCTCTGGATATGACTTATCCTCAAAACATTCCCATATCAACCACATTCATAATGCAACGCCTTTAACCCACATGCTAAGGTTCTGGTTGGCGGCTTTTCATAGTAAACATACTTCACATTGGGTCTTGTTGATATGTCTTGTCCTAATTTTAAGAAAACTGATTTTAAACAAAATTCCAAGTTGATTCAATATAACATATTTCGAATGATAAACGCTAGGTTACTTCTGTTTGAGGCCCCGGGTATAAAACACACCTGAAATGGTTAAACGATGTTTTCCTTGGGTAAAAGTAATCTTGGATTATCTTGTTCTTTATTCTGGGTTAGCAATCAATTAATCCAGAATGGTCAGGTCAAAATTTCACATTATACATAGTAACTTTGCTTAAGGCCTGTTAACACCAAGGATGATAACTTTAATGATAAGTAGTATAAAGTTTTAATTATTGTTCTAATTCTGAGAACAGAGAAGTCCACATCACAACTGCAGCATGTGCTTATAATAAACAGAGCAATGCAGAGCACTAGCGTGGACACTAATTATGGTTATAGTTAACTTTGTAGTTATCTTTCTTGGTGTGAACGTGTCTTTAACTTGGGGTAAGGACTCTTCTGAGCCACTTTTCACACTTAGCATCACTTTTAACCTTGGTTTATGAAGCAAAGCGAAACAGTGCTAACCCTGAATTGTGGTGCCAAGGATATACAGTACAGTACAGTGTGAAACTGTTTAGCAACAGACAACTCATAAATAAGTGTCTCAGTGTTTAAGCCATTAAATACCCATTAGTGGTTAGGTTCAGTAGTTCAGCATTAATCGTGGAATTAAATAGATGGTGTTATGTATGAGCCGATTAATATGACGACACTGGACAAGCAGTTAATTACGGTGTTTACAGGCACATCATTTTCCAATGATTCTGTGTAAGTCTTTAAAATGTTGGTAAATAAAAACATTTGTACAGAATTACAACAGAATTGTTTGGACATGTGCAAATATAAAGGAATGTTCAGTTATGAATAAACAGTACAACTACATATTTCAGCTGTTTTATTCAGATTTTAAGAAACCAGACTATTGGCTCAATCTGATTATGGAAACCATGACATTTACATATTCAGAATATTTACTCAATATTAACTTTTTATTGACTAGTATGCTTGTAATGGTTCCACAAAAAGTCTTGATAAACCGTTTCAAAATGATTAATTACTAACTCAAAGTAACATTTGAACAGTGTAAAAGACTGAACAAAATCATGTTTACTCAGTTAAACCTGGATTAGAAATATCAAGGTTGTTGTATTTTTCATGTTATTGGGGCCAAATCGACCCCAAACAGAAACAATGTTAGGCTACTCTCCTGGATAACAGCCATCAAGTTTCTGAAAGTACATGTGTAACCCCTCTCTCCCAGGTCCTCACCGCCACACCTCGTTCTTGTTCCGAGTGGGTCTTGAACCTGGGTCTCCGGCATCTCCGGAGGCGGACGCACTAACAAGGAGGCTAAAGACTGCAGCCTCTAGCATCAGTCGCTAGTGCGTGTCTTGAGATCAGGGGAGTGAGGTTTACCTGCACAGCAACTACTCGCTGGCCTCTGTTACACTCACCCCCCTAAACCTCACTCCCATCCGGGTCACGGCACCAATGTAGGCATGGGAGGCGGACGCACTAACAAGGAGGCTAAAGACTGCAGCCTCTAGCATCAGTCGCTAGTGCGTGTCTTGAGATCAGGGGAGTGAGGTTTACCTGCACAGCAACTACTCGCTGGCCTCTGTTACACTCACCCCCCTAAACCTCACTCCCATCCGGGTCACGGCACCAATGTAACCCCTCTCTCCCGGGTCCTCACCGCCACACCTCGTTCTTGTTCCGAGTGGGTCTCGAGCATGGGAGGCGGACGCACTAACAAGGAGGCTAAAGACTGCAGCCTCGACCTTTACCTGCACAGCACCTACTCGCTGGCCTCCGTTACACATGATTGCTTAGCGCAACATCTGTATGTGTTGTATTAATTAGGTCATTTTATAGTGAACATAATGGGTTAATTTCAAAATCCCTGTTCTACAGCACAGAGGTCTATGGGACCCAAACACTTAAGCAATCTGTCTCAAGAGAACGTGAGGCTTGTTTGTACCAATAATGTTTATCTGCCTGATGAGTTTCCACATCATCTGTGGTTTACTATTAGTATTTCAGAACAGTGTAAAATGATGCATGACATTTTGAGTGCAGCCGCAGACCCGTAATCACAGACGTGGGTTAAAGCGGCGCGCCACGGAAACCATGAGGACAGCATCGGGCCAGAACTACAGAGTCCCAGCGCGCTCAAGACCCCCCGCCTCTGGCCACGTTTTTCACCAACTACTGGAGAAACCTGCATCCCCAAACAAGAGCTTAAACGCGCCAAATAATCCGAAAGGAATGTTCGGATCAGAATTCGAACCACTTCATTAAAATGAAATCGAAAACGGCCTTAAATTGGATGCAAAACAACCCAGTCACAACCTGCTGCGAGTGACTTTTTCCTTCCACTTTTAATTACTTATTTAAAAAAATGTGTCGAAAAACGTATAAATCATGCTTTAAAGTAATTTAGAAGATGATATTAAAATGCTCTAATCAAGACTTACTGGATAGGCTAGCTACGTTTGGGAAATTTCAAGATTCAAACTTTCATAAACATAGGCTATACCTTAACCTCACATGAAGAAATGTGCTGTAAACTTATTTTGCTTCTTTGAGCCAATTATGATCTATTCGAAATTATGGTAGGCTACATAGCATTAGTATTCCTTTAGAATTTTTGACGTATAGCCTATAAGAAACATGCATACATTTATGTGTTTATTAGTGTTTATGAATATGTATTTGTATATCCGCAGCCGCCCAGTCCAGCAGGAACGGTCTACTGTAGTTCTCGTGGTTGTGATCGAGCCAGACTCGAACCCGTGGCCAGCGGCAAGAGCAAGAGACTCAATGCACACTTAACGTCTCTCCATCCGATACAATGATGCGCAAAAGTCAGAAAGCGTTACCTGCTCACAGATGCAGTCATCATTCTCTGCTCACGGATGCGTTCTTCTGCGTCAGGTTTGTGGAAGAAACAGAAACAAACACCAGATCCGCGGAGCTGCTTGGCGAACTGTTCCTCGCTTCTTCAGACTCGTTCTCTACTCTGTCACACACACACACACACGCACACACACACATACACACACACACACACACACACACACTCCCACTCCCTCCCTCCTCTGGAGTAAGAGAGGGAGGGGTGTAGTTTTTTCCCCTGTCGTTTACCCAACTGTTTTTGTCCTTGTGTAAATCTGGTGTGACGCTGGACAGCCACACAGAATCTCTCTCTCTCTCTCTCTCTCTCTCTCTCTCTCAAACATATGATTAAATCAAGAATTAATGTTGATTTTAATTATGACAAATTGATGAATGCAATTAATGTTTTTAAGATTGAATGGTGTTGTGATGTTGGCTTGTGTTATGTACTTAATGAGGAGTTGTTTTTTATACACGAGCTAAGATAGTAATATAATGGTTTGTGTTAATTGCTAAAATAATTGTTTTTAAAAAAGTGATTGTAAAAAAATCAAAAAATATCTCTCTCTCTCTCTCAATTCAATTTAAATAGCCTTATTGGCAAGACAAAAATACATTTTGTATTGCCAAAGCATTAAGACAACAAAGAAAATGGTTTTGGAACATCTGAACATTATTTATATATCATAACTAATATGTAATATATAACGTGTATGTCATATATATACACACAGATACGTAGGGGAAAAAAACATTACAGTACAGAAGTCATGCAGCAACTAACAGCACTATTAATAGTTCATAATATTTACTTTCAGTATCGCCACTATAGGGTTAGTTTTCACTCTGCTCACCCCAGTTTTCTCAGGATTATTAATGAAAATCCATTTCTGTACAAAAACTTCAAGACTGCATTGCAGGTTATTGCTCGGGAAAACATTCTTGAGCACACACTGACCTTTTGAACAGTAATGGGGCATGTTGTCACAACATATGTTGGAATAATGGAACCTGCAGCAAAATATAAACAGTAAAATAAATATAAAAACATAGAAAAATATGAATATTTGAATAAACGTTTAATCATGTATGAAATATGAAATTATTTATTAACATTATAAAACAAATATGGAAAAATAAAGAAAAAAAAATATTTAAAAATAACATTATATAAAGGTAAATTACAATTATTTCTCTCTTTTTTCATTGTTTCAGTTACTATATAAAATTAGCTGAAAAGTGTAGTTTTTAATGGCAGGTTTTATTGTGAAAACTTACCTAATATAACAACATAACTCACAAATAATTAATAAAGTTTATATTTACATTATATTTTAAGTATACTGTATATCGACACTTTATCTATCTATCTATCTATCTATCTATCTATCTATCTA